GGTTTAGGTGTAAGGTGACGAGGAAAGTTAAAAATAGTGGATAATTGTTTTTATACAAATTTCCCCATCTGGATTAAAGTGTTGGAATTAATTAATTCATTTTAATACATTTTTTTTAAAGATTATATTCCAAATGAAGTTGTTAATGCTAATTTGCTCTCTGGACTGACGCATCCTTTTACAGAGCACACCCACAGGCCTATTCGACTGCACGGAGGCCCACTTAACATAGCATCTGTGACGTCTAGGATGAACCATTAGCCAATCTGAGCTGTTGCATCAGGAGACATCCAAGAGTTCTGGCTGCTTGCTGATGAGTCCTTTCCAGTGATTATAGCTGCTGGGTGGGGGGGATCATGTCAGTGCAGGGGAGGGGAATGTGCAGAGGTGACAAAATACTGGAGTCTGGCCCTGACTCCGAGCTCATGTCAACACTCCAGTATGTGTTGCTGTAGATCAGGCGGCACTCGGGTGTCAAACCCATCAGACTCACAACATGTGAAGCGTGACGGATGAAAAGAGTTGGTGTAATCGGAGTTACCTGAGAAGACCTTAGGTTTAGGTTTGACGAGTCTGTGATCCGTGGAGATCGGTCTCCGAGCAGCAGCGAGATCATAACACACTGTGCCATAAGTCAATCAGTACATCAATATGGGGGCAGTGGTCGCTAATTTCCTCACCGTGACGAGGAGTAGGAAGCCCGTTCTCAGACTGTCACACACGTGATGTGGCTGATTGATGCATGCCATTTCATCTCAAAGTAAAAACAAAATGCCACTCAGTGACTTGTTTATGAAACATACATTTTCCTTAGCAGTCTTCAACAAGCTCTTCTCTTGCGCTACTGTTGGAAAATACGACTGAGAATGTCCTCATGATAATAATAATAATAATTTAAGAGTAGTGTTACTCCAAAAAAGAATTCAAATTGTTGTCAGAGTCAGACTGGTCAGACAGTTTGACTTTAATCCATAATCATAAATAAGATGTTTCCAAATCATCAAGTAACAATATATCTGTTCATTTCTTACTTTTTGTAATTGATAAAGACAGAATTTCCCATTGAAAAATTGTCATCTTTCAACAACAAAATTGTCATCTTTCAATAACAAAATTAACATTTTATTTCAAGACATTTCTTCTCAAGACGTGTCTTTGTTGACATGCTAACCTGGTTCCAGGTCTGTGAACCTTTGCGGAGATGTTTTTCACTGATTTGAATGAAGTGAAACTGACGATGGCTGTTCACTGTGATCATCAGGGTATTGACCTGCAGGGACTGATGAGAGGCCTTCATCCTACACTATAGCTTTACAGTCCTCTGTCGTGTGTAGCCGTTAACACTGATTAACAAAACATAGCTCTTCATGCCGTTAACGCTGTAAAAATCAAGCTTAAAATCCATTATTTGTTATTGCCTATTTTATCTATTTACCAGTTTTATTGCCCAGCCCTTCTGTGACCTATAAAGAACTGAACATATCTCACCCTGTCCACCATGTGGGATGTTTTCCTGCTTGTTACATTTGAGTTGCCACTTTTGCAAGCAGAACATATCGGCCTGTCTGCTCACCTGTTTGTTGCCTATTGTGTCTATCCACAAAGAGAAGGTGTTGTCAGCTGGTGCCTCTTGTATCAGGATAATTGGGTGGGGTGTCTTGAGTGTTGCATACATTCTGTAGGATTCTACACTGTGTGTTGTGGTTGGTATCTAGAGAGAGCAGTTGTATTCCTCTGTGGCAATCTAATCAACAGAAATAGACGGGGGCTTCCCTTGCTGGTGGTGCAGAGGAGAAACAACTCCTGTATGTAAGCTGGAGCACACGGTGTCACATCTTGAGTAACATTAAAGCTTGTGAATCATTGCTTGTAAAGCCTACTGTTTAACCCCGAGCGTTGACTTTGAAATCTTTGTTGTGTTTTGTAACGTTTTATATTGTTACACACATTTCAGTCCAGTTGCACATTAGTGCGTCTGAAGCATTGAGAGAATGGATGAGAGTAGGATCTGCTCGCCTCTCCCGCTCAGACAAAAGGGACCTAATTGCCCAGAACCAGCAGCACAGGTTTGTTCTGTGTTTATACCAGTCTGTGGAGATGTCGTTATTTTTGTGTTCTCGCATTAATAATATTGAACTATTGTGAAATTTCACAAAAGAAATCTTAAACGTATTACTGAATTCTATTTGACTATGGATTTTATATATATGTGATCCAGCAAAAAAACAGGATTTGATGTACGACATAATTCTATTGTATTTGGTGTTTATTTTGCTCACCCACAGTTATTGCACAATAAGTAAAACCTGCAGTGTTTTTTAAATGGGAGCTTATTGACACATACAGCCATATTATTTGTAACCGTACTGCCGCAGCTTGAATTTGCTGCCAGAATGAAAATGAGTCAGTTTGGTTGTTTGGCAGAGACCTAGCATCAGTAAATATCCCACATCACAGCGTCAACAATGCTAGTTCCTCCTCCACAGTAGCAGACCGGAGGAGAATCTCTTGGCAGTTCATGGACACTTTTTATAGTCCCTCGAGTCTTAAATACAGGCCACTCCTAGGAGTGGATGCTGTATGTCTGACTTGGCAAAGATAAGGAGGAGGCAGTGACCCTGCTGCATCGTGCTATCTTAGACACAAGGTCCACTGCTTATCTAATGCTGAAGACGCTCTACACTCTATGTGTAAAAGCTCCAGATTGTGTTGAAAAGGCCATGTTAAACACACTCACGAACAGTGGAAAGTGCGTCTCATTAACTGTCCTCAACAGTTCAAGAGTTACTTCTGCTTGTGTGCGGAGCTGGAGGAAAAAAAAACCCCCGTCGTTAATGCTAGTTATCACAGCACCTCTGCAGGGAAGCTCATGTCCGAGGTTGACCGGTGCTGATCCTTCACAGGCCTGTATGCTGAGAAAAGCCTATTAATGTGAGAGAAACTACAGAGCTAATTGGCCAAGTGTTCCTTGTGTAAAGATACATTCATAACTGTTACTACTGGCAAAAAAATTAAATGGCCATTATATTGTTGTCCTTTCGTTTCAATCATAATTAACCAAGGCTGAAAGTCGTTAAAAGAAAGGTAATTGTGTGTGTTATAACATGTACAACGAGGAGGTATTAAGCACACATCCATTTATCTAGATTGGAGCTCTGCTTGCGGAAAGGACACACCGCAAATATGTAATTAGACAATTACTGCTAAACCAAGGCTCCTCGTGCCACCAGTGATTACTGTTGATTAATTCATGTATAACTTACATTTACTGTCAGCATGCTGGCTTAATGGTTAGCTGTGTACTTCACAGCTGGAATCCAGTGTGTTAGTCCAGCAGCCTGTCCTGGGTGTACAACGCCTATTTAAGCCAATGCATGATGGGAAAGACTTCAGCCTCCTGCAGCCCTGAGAAAGGGAATGGACTGATGGAAGGATAGCTTGTATTATAAACAATTTATGAAGCAATCTATTAAGTGTATTCACCTAATTTAAAGGAATAATTTGACATTTTAGGAAATAAGCTTTATTCGCTTTCTTGCGAAGATTAAGGTGAGAAGATGAATGACACTATCAGGTTTATTGGTGAGCTTTTTTTGGCTTGTGGACAGACAGGCTAGCTGTTTCCCTATGTTCTCAGCCTTTGTGCTAAGCTAAGCTAACTGGCTGCTGGCTGTCGCTTCATGTTACAGCGCACAGACATAAGAGTGATCTATCCTCGCATTTAACTCTCAGCAAGAAAGCAAATGAGATATGTGAAACTGATCCTTTCTATTATACATTTAATCACAATTTTACGCAAAACACGATTGAGAAAATGTCAACTTTTTGAGAAAAATGTGATCAGAAAAACTTGTAAACATGTTATTTTAATGTAGGTGAGAATAAATCAATATTTGCATGTTTTCTGGTGGCGCCTGCTGTCTTCCACGCATTTTCACGGATCTGAGTAAATCCGGTAACTAACTGTTTCATCTCTGACAGCGTTGCCTCTTAACTGCACTGGTGACGGTGGATGATTTTGAAAATGTAATCATGTCTGACCTTTCTGGTTGCTATTGCTCACCGTAGAAAGCCGGGAGCAGGTCTGTGGAGTGTTAAGGTACTGAGCGGCTTGTATTTCTAAAAGCGTCTGTGGTCAGACCCCCCCCCCCCAAGAGGCTAAACAAACCCAAATACATGCGTCTAATATGAGTGGTTTATGGGTTGCACTAGTTGTTCAGCGGGCGCAGTCAAGGTGCTCTCCGTGTTTTATAACGGGAGAGTATCTCACTTTATCTCTATCTTATCTTTCTTCAGTGAGAGCTGGGAGGCTATGGGAACATACTGTATTCACTAACTTGAAGGTGAAAGTATTTCAGTCATTCTAGTCTACCGTGACCCTCTGTTACACACACACACACACACACACACACACACACACAGTTTCAAATCTCACTTTCTACCAAAACAACCTCACACATGCTCATATCCAGAAACATCGAAGCAACTGTATTTTGTGCTTTTCCTCTCATATGACACCGGTCACCTTGCAATCAGCCTACCTGATGGATGGTGAATAAATACCTCCCTGCGTATCCTGCTTTAGATGTGGACTGAGGCGCAGCTGCAGGCTGGTCGGCTCTTTCATCTCTGATTGACGGTCACAGCGGCAGAGGCCGCCTCTCCCAGCGTACACGAGAAGCTTGACATGATAGATCGACTGTTTCGCACGCACAGCTCCGACCACACGGTGTGTTGGAATTGCTGCGAAAAAAGGAAATTGCCCTGGCCTGTGTCGGGAATAGAAAATAACACTACCACTTTCACGCCTCATTATTTTAAGCCTCTTTTTAGCTCATTGTGACGTACTGTAGGCCCTGATGGCGGCTGTTATAAAAATAGCACGAGGTTTGCCGTTTACTAGTTTTATTGTGACTCTCCCAAACACCTTGTTTCCACTTGGCGCTAACCATGATGTTCCCCAAATTGTTTTATATTAACTGGTTGTGTCTTTTCTTCAGCAGGAGGTACTGTCTGCTCCTTTCACCCGTCAGACTGTCAGGAGAGCACATAGCCTCCGGCCTGCAGCCCACTCCACACTCTTCACCCAGCCTCCCGCTGCCCTGTCTCCACAGGTTAGTGTGTCTGCATGCATGTATAAGTGTATTGTAAAAATTGTCATTTTATTTTTTGGACATTATTGATTATTGTACCGTACATCCTCGAGAGCAAATACATATTGATTAGAGCTAGTTTGGGTGTATGTGTGTGGCTCAGTGAGGTGGACAACACATCAATCCGAGGCTTTTTAATATATTGACAGCCAGCGAGGTCCTGCATCGTCGGCACTATCGGACGCCTTCATCACTGTAGTGCAGTTTTTAAAGTCACTCGTAAAGTCAAAATATTGCTGTGTCATCATTTCCGATTGTTTTAAATATCTGATCAATATCGGCCTATTGGGTATTGGCAGTTAGTGTAACCTGCGTCATTCCGGCTTAATTAAGAAGCTGCCAGCTACGCAAAACGTTTCAGTAGCAACAGATGGGTTTATTCCCCTGTGATCTTTTTAAGTGCTGAAAGACCGAAACTGTGTGCTAAACCCCACATTCAGCACAAAATATATTCTGTCGGCAGCCTCAGTTTAGACGGGTTTTTGGATCGATATCAACGACTAAAAAAACCCGTCATCTATATCTGATTAATCCTCCACCACGTGTCCCTGTTTTGACTAGAACTAATCTGTTGTTGTTTCTATTTCCGTTTACCAGTGATTAGCATGCGAGGCCTATTTCGGAGAGAATCCTTTGAAGGTTGGTGAGGTCGCGGGATTGGCAGCCTTTTAATAAAGCCGTTACCAGAAGAAATCTATTCAAATGTATTCAAAAATCCCACTGTTCAAAGCAGCCTCTCCACTGGGGTGTCGTTACCCTGATTCAGTGTTGACACGAAGCAGCGTGTGCCGCCATATAAAGCTGGCTTCCCATCACACCTTAATACGGCCTGCAAATCAACACTCTGGCAAATACGTATTTGGATTATAAACACCAGCAAGTTTTGCAAATGAAACGTGGCATGTACCACTTGAGAACGAGCTGTTTCGGTGACGTGTGGCTTCGGTGCGAAAGCAAACCACCAGGTCATTTAACCACAGCGCTGCTGTGTGTGTGTGTGTGTGTGTGTGTGTGAGACGCAGAAAATTAATATTTGTGGGTGCATGCAAAAACATATTACTAATGATTAGTGCAGCATGAGGAAGTTTTTCCTAAATCAGCTCAGTCAAATTAGAGTCACAGAAGTATGTGCAGATGTTTAATACACCTGCCCCTGCCTGGTACGCGTGACGCTTTCAAATAGAAATTTGTTGTCTGACAAAATAATGGATGCGTTTGTGTTATTGTGCGCTGGTCTCTTTCTGAGCCCAGTAGCGTGACAGCAATGCTAAATTTATTTCTTCCTCATTTATAAATTAGTTTGACTCTTGCCATCTGTTTTTGGATCACATGACGGTGCGATGCAGAAGGCGTTTGATTTGCCTCTCTGCAGTGTTGTGTTGCAGAAACGGATTTGCAACAAATTGTTGAAAGAGTACTCCAATGTGCTGTTTTCAACATAGCTCGTGTCAATGTAGTTTGAAGGCTTGTGTGGCACAAAGTGGTAGATAAAAATATTCATATTCACTTATTTGCAGATCCAATTTTCACTTTTTTCCGAGCACTTGAAGGATCTGTCATCCATGTTGCCGTTGAGTTTCAAGGATCTTTTTAAATGTACGTTGAAGGTCAGTTTTTAACAACTTTTTCGAAGGTCAAGAATGATCGTTGAAACTTGAGTTTTATGCCAACATGAACATGAAATGCTCAGAAAAAGATGGAAATTCAAACATCTACGATTTCATGACTGTGAAACCTGCTGAAGATGATCATGTGATAGGATTGAGAGCCTCACAACAGCCACTAAGTGAAGCTTGTTTTTAAAGTGAGCGTGCACATGCACGTCAGAGTTTCTGTTTATGGTTACTTGTGAATTAACGTGGCTCCTACATGGTATTACTTGAGGATTAGTACAACGACTGTTCTCAGCACAAGGTGTCATATCAGCGACCTTACAATAGAACAGCGACCAGTCATAAGATCTGGCAGGACGACGTCTCGGTGATTCTCCGTCTCTGCTTGTTCAGAGCACAACTCTTTGTGCTTGGTATTCCTGTGAGTCCGGCTAGAACCCAATAAAGCAGACGCATTATGTTAAAAAGATCAGCTCAAGGTTAAGCGTGTATATTTTTTCACCATTTAATGCTCTCGGCCCACCAACAAGCTCGCACGGGATGAAAATTTTATGATGGGAACAGGATCTTTGTTCCTTGAGTGCTTGCAGTCCTTTGGCTATGGATCGCAGTGCATTAGCTCATCTCCTTTTTCTTTCTGTGCTCGCACTGATGTTGTATGTATGTGTGGTTACGTTCCTGGGAGGCGAGTGTATGTTCAGTGTGCTTTGTCTGTGTTGGTGTATGTGTTTTTATGTGTCATTGGGCTGTATGAAATGGAGAAGGCAGGCACGGGTTTGCACAGGGTGGGGGTGGTTGTACAATGAAAAATGAGTTTTCCTCGGACTGTGTTTACGTTTTACTGCAGCAGGCCGCTCGGCGAGTCACTGGGGGGAAGGTCGGTGAATGAGAACAGAGGAAATGTATACATTACTTACGCTGCCGGGAAGTCAAAACATCAGCTGTGGGTTATCCTAGCAAGGCCTTGTTCACAGCGGGGTGAAACAACAGAGCTAGCTGAGAGGGAGCTAGTCGATAGTCCCGAGTGTTCCGAGTGCCCCACTCCCTGCCTCCTGGCCTCCAGAGGGGAGAGCTGTTTGTTCAGAGGAGCCGGGAGGGAGGAGACACGGGAGGCTCAGCAGGGAGTGTTTGCCTTGCCAGGGCTTGTTGCCTCCGCTAGGTAGGGCTGAGGATGATACCACTCAGAACTGCGGTAGAAGGAGGGTACATCAGCACGTGGAATGAAAATCCGGATGCATAAACTTGTTTGTCTTGCAAACATTGTCTCTAACCATGAATGCTGCGCCATCTGCCATTTGTGTACTGCATTGTTTTCAGCCAACACTTTTTATTTTCTCCACATTTTTCCCTTTTTTCCATTTCATTGACATCCCTCTTTCTTGCTCCTGCATTGCTGCAGTACAGACGCTTGTCTCTTACTTGGCTAAGCAATCCCCCCCTCCTCCCTATTGCTCCTTGGCATCCATCAGTTTAGCTACAGCTTCCCATGACGCCTGATGGGTCACAGCTATACACACACACACACACACACACACACACACACACACACACACACACACACACACACACACACACACACACACACAGCCGCTCTCAGCAGCACTATTCATGCATGGACCTCTCGACCCATCTGCGACTCCGCTCCTACAGATGGGAGCCGCGGCAATTTGGAGAAGTTGACAAATGTCACACTGACGCTTGAATGGAGAAATCTCAAACAAGGAGGAAACGAGTTGTTGGTTCCTTTCTGGAAACTTGCCAGTTTATGCAATTTATGTTACTCAATGTGTAATAGAACGCAAGACAACATCGCAGGGTGCATTGGTGGATGGACTGAAGGTAAGATAGATGGAAAAGGAGTAGCATGATGTTGTGTTCACACGACCAGCAACTTTGATTTGCTGGGCGTCACATCCGCCGCACAGCGACAAGTTTTGTGAGTCAGTCCGTTGCTTCATGTGACGGGCTTCCATTGAAAATCGCCTGCCGCCGTGTCGCTCGTAGCGTGACTATTAACACGGCATAAGCGTAGGGCGTGGGGGAGGAGGCGGTGGTGCGACTGCAGTCTGCAGAGCTCTTGAGCAAGTCACACTTGACAGGCACTTTGAACCTGTTCCCTGCCTCATGTCTTCACCAAGCCTGTCTCTGTCAGTAGGAGCTCTCCTTTTTTTCCTGAGAAAGCATCAGCCCTGTCTTGTAATGTTCCTCCTGAAGGCAGCAAAGACATTGATCAGTCAAAAAAATAACAATGTTCTGTCAGTAAGTGTTTATTGCTCTTTCCTGTCTCTTTGTAGGGAGATTCTTTTTTTTAAAGTTATCTAAACCAACTTGGGAACTCTTCCAATCTCTGTCAGGTGGGTGTAGTTCAAAGGCAGAGTGAGCCGTTCCACACAGAGAGCTCATTATGCAGACTTGCATCGGTGTGATAAGCAGTTGGGGAAATGGACACTTACTAAAAACAAGGGCTGCTGTTTTCCCCAGGGGGTAGGTGTGCGATGAAGAGAGCCATTGTTTATGGCATCAAGTCAGCAGGAGTTTGTGCCACACCGTCCATTTACTCTGACTATAAACTGTGTGGAGTTGCTCGTCCAAACTTGCTCGTCACCCAGCCAGTCCAATTTGAACGTTGTCACAAAATATTTTCCGTCAACGCTCATTTTATTACCTACCTGAAGTATTTCTGGTTGTATTTTTGCCAGCAAGGCGATTGGGAGGAAAACAATGTAGAAAAGTAATAAAGGCTTTGCTCCAGTTGTTCCATGCAGTGGTTGATATATCCACTCTAAACAAGCATTCTTCTTTTATAGGGTCATACAACACCATGCCATTTCCCAGTTTTCATTCATTTAGACTAAATGAACCAGAGGTTTCATTTCACTCTCCTGTGAGTGGATGGGAGTGAGACACATGGGTGGAAGATACTGTGTGCAATTTAAGTCAAAAACGTATTCCTTCTCTGAGTCATGGCTCTGTCACATATCAACACATAGACATGATACACATTTTTTAGATACAGTGTGACTCACACTTTGAAAGAATATCATTATTTCCTTCTGGCACAAATAAATACGCTTTGAAATCGTAGAAAAAAAAAAACGTTTTTATTTTAGTAGCCCATTGGTAGCTGTCTTTGTATCAATGGGTAAATTGCAATGTCTAATCTACTTTCTTCTTATATTCCTGGAATATCAAAACTCTCCTCATCCATCCATTCATACACAGTACAGGGGGCACCGATGTTTGAATTTTGTAATTCAGACTTTGAAATCCCCTGATGTAAACCGACTGTTCTAGTTTCCCCAGGCTTAGCTGCACCCTTTGAAGGAGACTGTAGAGTAGACCTAAATG